ATCAGTAAATCTCTCATGAGAGGTACAAATCTACCTATGCATATAGGCTCAAGAACTGAAAATAAGCCAAAAGTGTCCTGCAAATCATTAAATAGTTGGGTATATTCCAGTTTAGAAAGCTAATGTCCACAAAATATAGCATTATAATCGATAATACTTATGTTTTAAAATGAAAAATGCAGAATGGTTTGTCAGCAGGTAAATGGATTTTGTTTTTCTATGTCAAAAAGTGAATGTACAGCCTTTCTTTTTATTTTGCTTTTGAGAATTGATGGTCAAAAATGTATATGTGATCATGATGAGGAAGAAAAGAGATTGTACAGTCAGATCTTGGAATGGTCTGGCAATTCTGTCAGTGCATTTTGGTTGAACCAATTGTCAACAAGAAGATATAATAATAACACTAATTCGGAGGACTGAGGACTACCCTTTACCATAAGGTATTACTCATGTAGGTTTTCCTGTGTGAATTATTAATAGAACTCTAAATTTTCATAGCCATTTAGAAAAGTAGTAAAGCAACTCTTAGGTAAGGAGCAACTTCCGTTACTGTGATTCTATTTCTTTGACTGAAGGAGACTTCACTGATCTCATGATACAAATTCGTAGATGTGACCTCAAAATCACAAAGAATGAAAGAAAAAATAGATAAACTGTATATCACCAAAATTAATATGTCTGTGCTTCAAAGAAAAATGTTTAGAAAACAAAAAGGCAACTTCAATAATGGGAGAAGAAAAATGCACATCATAACTTGCATCTAGAATATATACAGAATTCTTACAACTAAGTAACAAAGAGACAACCCAATGTTAAAGTGGGTAAAGGATCCAAACAGACAATTTTTCAAAGAATGAACACATGAGAAGATGCTCAATATTATTAGCTATCAAGGAAATGCAAGTGAAAACCACAATGAAATACCATTTCATACGCTCTAGTATGCTTATAATAAAAAAGTCTTATAACAAATAAAAAATCATTGGCAAGGAAGTTGAGAGCTTGGAATCCTCATCTACTGAATGTAAAGTGCAACTGCTGCTTTGGGAAGCGGTCTGGCAGTTTCTCAAATGTTTAAACATAGAGTTACCATACGACCCAGCAATTCCACTTAATTGCCCAAGAGAAATTAGAACATGTCCACACAAATCTTGTGTGAATGTCTTATGAATGTTCACAGCAACATCATTCATATTAGCTAAAAAGTGGTAACAACATAAACGTCCATCACCTGATGAATGAATAAGCAAGAAGTGGTATATCCACACAATGGGATATTACTTGGGGATAAAAACAAATGCCACAACATGGGTGAACTTTGAAAACATTATAGTAAGTGACAAAAGCCAGTCACAGAGGACCATATCGTGTGATTCCATTTATATGAAATGTTCAAAAGAGGCAAATCTATGGGCAGAGGATGTAGATTCATAGGGCTGAGGGTAGGGGAACTTCAGGCATTATGGGTGACTGCTGTATGATATGGAGTTTCTTTGTGGGGTAATAAAATGTTTTACAATTGATGATGGTGATGAATGCACAACTCTATGAACATACTAAATAAGCCTTCAAATTATACACTTTTTTATTTTTTAATGTTTTTTTATAGAAATTTTATTTATTTATTTGCCAGAGAGAGAGAGCACAAGCAGGGGAAGAGGCAGGCAGAGGGAAAAGCGGACTCCTCGCTGAGTGGGGAACCTGATGCAGGACTCAATCCCAGGACCCTGGGATCATGACCTGAGCTGGAGGCAGATACTTAACCGACTGAGCCACCCAGGCGTCCCCAAATTATACACTTAAGTGGATGAATTATATGATGTTAATTATATCTCAGGAAAGTTGTTTAAAAAAAAGGAGTTAATAAATAGTATGAAAAGACAGGCTTCTCCCTTTAAAAGGTCAATGTAAGTTGTTTCTACAAAGCCCATTTTTTGTTTAGAAATGTTATTATATACATTTCATTCTTCTGAATATAGTTAAGGTTTGGGGTTGATTAAAATGGTCTAATATTAACTGGTTCCTTTGTGTACATACAAAATAAAATGCTAAAAAGTGGCGATCAGAGCATTCCAGCCAAAATGCCCTTTGGTGAACAAGGATGATTTAACAAGCCACTTGCATTCTTTCATTTTAAAATGAAGATTTGGCTATGATTTTGTTTCCACTAAGCTTGGCAGGTTCTTTTCTGCTTAGTTTCATAATCATTTTGCTATTTACATGTTTAGTATAATATCAGGTAATGATGAAGCATTGTTAAAGTGGCATACTGGGTGTTTTTGCCCTTAAATCTCTAAGTCTTACAGAGCAAGTGTTCTTTACATTAATACAGTGACCCTATCCCATCAAACTATTTAGCTAAAATGCACTAAAATATAAACATTTTGCCCTATCATTTTCTTTCTTTTTTTAAAAGATTTTATTTATTTATTTGACAGAGAGAGAGAGACAGCCAGAGAGGAACACAAGCAGGGGGAGTGGGAGAGGGAGAAGCAGGCTTCCCACCGGGCAAGGAGCCAACACGACTCAGGCTCAATCCCAGGACCCTGGGATCAGGACCTGAGCCAAAGGCAGACGCTTACTGACCGAGCCACCCAGGCGCCACTGCCCTATCATTTTCTATTCTAATTTTATATTGAGTATTTTCATAACAAAAGAAAAGTTTCAGGTAAAAAGTAGTCATTTTCATGATCAAATGTTTCCCTTAAATCCATTCATTTTCATTTTCTCCCCCATAAGCACTGAGACTAATTCTCTCCTACTACTCTGCACTGGGCAGGAGGGAGCAGGGGGTGCTAACTTGAGAGTTGCCTTCTGTTGAATGGAAGTATAACCCTGTATAAGAAGAGAATGAGTATTTGACCCCTTATTAACAGAAGACATCATGCTGGGTGCTTTATATATGGTATTAAGTCTTTGCAACAGTCCTGTATTGCAGATTTTATCATTACCACTTGAGAGAAGAAAAATCTGAACTTATGGAAGGTGAACACTTTGCTGAAATCAGACAGTTGATTTTATGAATAGAGATCTGAATATTTTTCTTTCTCCAAAGCTTATTCTCTTTCTCTACTAGTGTGTTTTATGTCTTAAGCCCGCTGTGGCGGAGCGCGCAGCTTCCCCTTGTCGGCTTCGCCACAGTATCTTTCTGGGCCAGCCAGATTTCAGAAATGAGGAAATATTCTAACTCTTACCTACAAACCTTTTCAGAAATGGGGCATTTGTCTTACACAGCCCATGGCCCCCACGGTGACAGTTTGTTGTTATTTTTAAACAATTTCCTTAGAATTGCACTCTTTCTTTGTTGCCGTAAAGCAATGGCAATGTTTTCAAAAGCGTTCTAATATTAGCTGCTGCCCTACATCTTTTAAACTCTCTTCACTGTTCTGTGAATGTAGGTTATTACCAACATTATTCTTTTTCTGATTTTTGTTCTGTATTTAGCCAGCTAATTATGAAATCTACACATCAATGAACAATTTCTTTATATCTTAAATGTTTAAGCAAATATCAGAATGAGGTTGTTGCCATGTTCTCAAACTGGATACAATACTTGACACGCCCCACATATACTGGGGATTGACCTTTTTATTAAAGAGTCACTATTATGCAGTACATCCCATGTTCATTATCAATTCTTCTCTGCTTACTACTAACAAGGAATAGAATAAATGAAGAATAAAGCAATCAAATGATCACATGGGTGAGCAGTAGGATACAAGTGAAATGGAAAAATTAGGCTTGGATTTTAAAAGATAGATTTTTTTTTTGCTACATTATAGGAGATCCGAGGAAAAAACAAGTAGGAGGTTAGAAGGAAGATAATTTTACAGTTTGAAACCAATTTGTATTTTCATTCTGCCTGTCAGTGGGTTTTAATGCACCAAAGGGTCAAGACTACAAATTAAATTATGTGTAAAGGATAAGATTTTCTTACTTAAGCTTCAACCATGAAGAAATCAGATATTTCCTATAAGGAAAAACTAATTCTTTAGGGAAGAATAATTGGGCCATTGGTATTTTAACTTGCCCTTTTTATTTCAATATATGGCGAGATAAAAAGATTTATGTCATCTCACTAGAAAAGCAATCATGAATACCAAATCACACTGGGGAAATATTTTGTTTTTCAAGTGGTTATCGGTTTTAATTTATCTACCATGGGCTCACATTGTCAAAGGAAAATCATACAGTGTGTGGATTTACAGCTGTGACTTGGGAAAATTATGTACATTCCAAAAGGTGAAGATAAAGAAAAAAGCGAAAAAGCACCAGTTACATCAAGTGTCAATACATTTATGATGCTAATTAGTATAATTATCATTTATTTAGTGTTAACTTTATGCTAAATGATTTGCCTATACTATCTCAATTTCACAATGGGCCATAAGGCAGGCGTAATTATTGTCCTCTTCTTATACATGGGGAAATAGAGCATGAGAGAGGGTAAGTAACTTGTGAAAGGTCACATAACTCATATGAGGCTTAGCGGGAATTCAGCCATGGTGGTCTGACACCAGAGCACATGCCTGTAATTACTCTACTGTACCGCTTTTGCTGGTAACTAGGATTTATAGCTCTTACCATTCCAGCATGACCAAAGAAAAAGAAAGCTCCATACCTCACTGTTGAGTTTATTTATTTGCTGCTTGGTCTCCTCTGCTTTGATAAAGAGAACAGCAGCTCCAATCTCTGGGTCTGAAAAGTAGAACACACTCAGAATGAGTCTTTTAGCAATAAACCTCATATTTGAGGATTTGGGGCAGTTGGAATGGAGAAGGAAGCCTAAGCTACTACCTTTACCTTTGCCTGACACCTGTGCACTGTAGGTTCTGTCTCCCTGGGATTGGACATGCTTCTAGTAATCCTCTGGATCGTGCCTGATATACTCCTTGAAACTAGGCATACATCATGGTGGGGACTGTGACCACACTGACTGGATGTGTCCATGGCAAATCTTCCTTTCCCCTGAACTTCCCCTTTCCTCACCACCACGTTCCAAGATGGCACAGTTTCTCTTTTTTGACCATTCTCTAAAAACATATCACAGTCAATGCCTAAACCCTAGAATAAGGGTGTTCTTTTCCTCCTCTTTTTTCCCCAAATATTAATTCCTGTGCCCATGAGAACATTTCCCCCCCACTTCTATTTCAGGTGCTAAACTCCACTGCAGGTTTCCTATCTCCTCCCTTGTTGCTCTAAAAGATACTATCTCCCATTTCCTGGTTCTCTTATCTCCACTTTTTCTTTACCTTACTCTTCCAAATACATTTATTTCTGTCAGTGACAAAAGTATAGATGAATCGCTGCTAGCTGGAGTATAAAGGAATGAATTTTATATATATATATATATATATATATATTTATATATATATGAATTGCTGCTAGCTGGAGTGGAAAGGATGAATTGCTGTTAGCTGGAGTGGAAAGGAATATATATATATAATTTATTTATATTTATTATTTAAATGTATTTATATAAAATGATGTGACCCTCATAATACGCTAATTCTGGTAAATTATGGGTAAAGAAGTTGTGGAAGAAAAAAGTAAAAGCTCATTTTGCAAAGAATTTTGCAAAGTTAATCTATTAATTCAATGAATGACTAGAGAAAATATACAGTAGGCTAAATCTCCTTTAGAGGAGAGAGCAATGAAAAAAAAAATATAATTGACCCTCATGGAGCTTAGAGTCTAGCTGGGAAAAGAGAAAACAATTAGGCAATAGATTTGGATTTCACACTAAGGGCACCAGGAAGCCATCTTAGGGTTTTAAGTATAGGATCAGAGTTATAAGAATAAATTTGTATTTTTAAAAATTTACTCTGTATGGAGAGCAGAACCACAGAAGAGACTTTGGTAGCAATGCATGCAAGAGATGGGTGTGGCAAAGAAATGTATGCTGGCAGTAAGGACACAAAGTCTTAGAATTGAGGGTTTAGGAGATAGAGCCAAGAAAATTTGTTGCTTGAGTGCATGAGTATAGGGGTGGATATTGGGAAAAGAAGAGGAGGCTAAGGAGGTGGTGGGACCAGAAATAGGTGGATGGACATGGTGAGGCTCTGTGTATCATCTCCAGGTCTAGGTTAGTCAATAAGGAAAACTTCCAATTGGAACCTACCATCAACTTGCATAGCAGATACATCAGTGTGACTGTAACTATGATTTCTGTGCCTCTTTCCCCAGAGTAACATCAACACAGGTAAGTCAACTGAATGAATGAATCAGGATTGTTGACTGATATCTGCACCCCTTCTTTCCCTGTCTTCCTTTCCTCTGCTCACTCCCCCACCTATCCCAGGGACTTACAAGGACCCTTCCACTTCCCTAGAAGATGATAATTACCAGGAAGTGGGATTGTTGATTGAGATGGAATACTGGTATTCTACCAAAAGGAGACACACACCCAGGACTGTACATTCAAAATTTTTTATTGGGTTTGGCTTTGTTCATGGACATATTCACTAACCGGTAATAGATCCTGACATAAGGATCCCAGAGCTGAGGGGGAAGGGGAGGACAGAGTTGGCAGGGGACTGCTAGCTTTCATCTGGTAGTTTGCTGGTAAATTGTTTTGGATAGCCTATGCTTGCTCATTATTCTCTCTTTATTAACTACAGGTGTGTCTTCTTTAGAATTTACTTATCATTTCTGGCCTTCATTATGTTGATATATTCCTTGTAATGGGCAATGAACTCAAGAAGGCAAGGGAGAGAGAGGAGGCTGGGTTAGGTTTGGGGGTACCCTTACATTAATTCACCATCACTAGAGGGTAGTGCTTCACATAGGTCTCCATCATTTCCAACCTTCTTACATCCTTCTGAAGTTGTTTGTTCTCTGACAAAATGCACGTACATAATCTCTCATCAATAAGTTGGTTAAAAATAACCAATATTCCTACAGTGTACAACCAACACAGCTCTTCCTCTGGGTAATGTTGTTTTTGTGACTAGTCTGCATTCATAATAAGAAAACAAGGTCACCCTCTAATGAATAGCAGAAATTTGAGTCTCCTGACACACCATTTACCTTGGTTGGTAAATGGCAGAACATCTAGCTTGGATAGAGGAACAATTACAAATTATATCTTAATAACTTGGAGATGGCACAGACTCAAGTTGAATTGTTCCATGGCATTGGTAAAATTCTATCATGTAGAAAATGCAAAAAAGTGCTTATGCCAAACATTACAAGTTAAAAAGATATATCACCCTTTGATAGAGGCTAAATATAGAGCTTACCTCCTAGAGGAGGGGAAACTCTGGGCTCTGGCCTGATGCGTTCAGAGCCAAAGTCAAAAGTCTGGCTTTCCTCACTGCTGTTTCCATCTTCAATTCCATCAACAATCCTGTTTAAAATAAAGGACATTGGTTAGTTGTGCACTTATATTTATGGGTTCCAATATTTCTTTTTTTAAAAAATATTTTATTTATTTATTTTAGACAGAGAGACTGCACATGGGGGCATGTGGTGGAAGAGGGAGAGAGAGAATCCAGAGCTGACTCCCCACTGGTGAGGAACCTGACTCAGGACTCGATCTCATGACCCTGAGATCATGCCCTGAGCTGAAACCACAAGTCAGACACTTAACCAACTGAGCCATCGAGGCACCCCAGATTCCAGTATTTCCAGAAGACTTAAAAATACTGTCTTAATTTCTAAATTCTACATACTCTAAAGCTGAGCTATCCATTATGGTAGCCATTAGGCTTATATGGCTACGAGCACCTGAAATGTGGCTCATGCAAATTGAGATATGCTGTAAGAATAAAATGCACATTGGATTTTGAAGATTTGAGTAAAAAAAATGGAAATGGTTTTATTAGTAAATTTTTAATATTATTTACATTTGAAATTATATTATTTGGGGCATACTGAGTCAAATAAAATATATCATTAAAATTAAATTTCAGGTGGTGCCTGGGTGGCTCAGTTGTTATGCATCTGCCTTTGCCTCAAGTCATGATTCCAGGGTCCTGGGACCAAGTCCCATATCAGGCTCCCTGCTCAGCGGGAAGCCAGCTTCTCCCTCTCCCACTCCCCCTGCTTGTGTTCCTTCTCTTGCTGTCTCTCTCTCTGTCAAATAAATAAATAAAATCTTTAAAAAAAATTAAATTTCACTTTATTTATTTATTTTTTGCTTTTTTAAAAATGTGGCTACTAGAAAATTTAAAATTACATTTGCACTGGGTGTTATATGCAAACAATGAATCATGGAACACTACATCAAAAACTAATGATGTAGTGTATGGTGATTAACATAACAATAAAATAAAAAAATAAAAAAGAATAGAGAGAGAAATGGAGAGAACAAAGAGAGATCATGAGAGAGAAAATGAAGAAAGAATGAGAATGAGCAAGAGCGAGCAGATGAAAAGCAAATGGGAGAGAATATTAACAAATTGTCTAGCTGAGCAACAGTTATTGGGATTTCTTTGTGCTGTTCTTATCATTTTTCTGTAAGTTTGAATTATAAAATAAAATCATCCCTCAGTAAAAAAAAAATTACATTTGTGGCTCACAATTTTAGCTCATATTATATTTCTGTTGGATAGAAATACTATAGAATTTAGAATCTTATTTATTCTAGGATTCAAAGCCTTAAGCTACAGAAGTCCTCTTATCTGAATTCATATTAAATCACCACTCTATCTAGAATTAACATGTTTTAATCTAATGATTATAGCATCACATTAAATAACTTTGATGACACCTTTACTCTGAACCTGGACAAAACCAAGAGTTAAAGAATTACATATAAAGGACTATTAAGACTTTGGCTAGTCTTCTTCCCTTGCTAAATAATGTCTAACCCACTCATTATTTAAAAAATATTAAGTCTATTGTAGAAAATTTAAACATAAAAGTAACAAAAATTAGAAAATAAAAATCACCTGTAATCCATCACTACTGTCAGCATTTTGATGTATGTTCTCAAAATCTTTTTATAAGTATAAGATCAATTGTATATAAACCTTTCTTTTCCATCTTTCTTCTTATTAAAAATTTAGGAAGGAGACGAATAAGGCAACGTTTTTAAATTACCATCCTCAACGGAATTCCTGAACCTTTAATGTCCACCTACTTTTCACTGAGTCTGTTTTGCTTATTTTTAAAAATATTCTCTCTAAATGGATAAATTGTGTCCTTCAAATGACTAGTTAAATATATTGACAAATATCACTTGCTTTACAAGTAGAAAAACAGAATTTGAATCCAGATTTCCAAACTTAATCTCTGAGATTTTGCACAAAATAGTTCAATTCTTATATCTTCATAGTACAGATAATATGAACTACCTTACAGGACTCCTGATTTCCTGAGGAGACTAAATGCAACAGTGAATGTGGAATTACCTAGCAGAGAACATGGCACATAGGAAGCGTTCCATTTTTTTTTCTTGCTTCTACTTATTACTCAGCTATGATGTGATTTTTTACTATTGCTTGTATTCACCATAGACTACTCCTTTCACATTATCTGCGTCAGGATTTTTCACTCTCTCAATCACCTCTAGTTAATCCTAAAGTGAATTTTTAAAATTAAAAGTATAGCCATTCCATGTTACATACAGAAGAGGCCAGAAATAAAACCAAGCTTCAATTGTCCACATGATGAAAAAAATAATATTGAAAATGAACATCAACACTTCATTTCCTTTATGATTTTAACTTATTGTTCCATAAAACATTTGGTAAGATCAGGCATTGAGGGAATCACATCAATGGGCCTTGTTCTATCTTTTATTTTCATTTAAATCTATAAATTATAAAATTACAATGTAGAAATACACACTTATGATAATAGGTAGAGCTAAATGGATGATAGGAGTAGAGAAGGACTTCTGAATATTTAATGGACCCTTTTGAGAATACAACTAACACTAATTATTCTCATACTGTACACACCTCCATGTAGAAGCAAAAATTGCACACAAAATTCAGGAAAGTTGAAGAAGTCTGGCTAGGACCCTGTGTGGTTGAGAGGCCCAGGAGGCTCGATAATTTACTAGCTAGGTACTAACTTGGACAAAAGGCAGCCCTTTTCACTAGGAAAGAATTGCATGATGTGATTCTTACCTTGGACTGAGGTCTGGGGGTCCAGCGCTATTCAAAGCTGACAGTTGCAATTTCAAGTTTCTCTCTTTCCTTTTAGCCTGGTTAGGGGGGTCAGTTTCCTGTTTGTTTTGGGGGGAAGGTGAACTGGAGATTCTGCTAGGTGAGTGAAATGGCACAGTGCCCGAGGCCAACTGCTTCAAGCTTAGGCCTAGATAGCTTTTATTGCTTCCAACCTTCTTACTGCATGCAGAGGATGTTCCCCTTGTGTAGATGGGAGAGAGGGAGGCTGTCTCCTCGTCTTCTCCCTCCTCCTCCTCCTCTTCATCTTCCACAATGGACGGGAGTTTTTTGTTGATGCTGCCATTTCCCTTGGGCTCTGACTAAATCAATGGATAACATAGATTAGTACAGATCACGAAGACCGCTTGAGAGGTTGATCATTCATGCTGGTGGGCCCACCTAAGCAAAGTCAAATCCTTTAGAAACTTACTTCTCAGTAAAACTTAAGACTTTGCAGATTTTGCTATTATTTATTCAGGGGTTCAGTGTCTCCCCATTTGAGATATTCCCCAGGTTTACCCTCTTTGCTGTCCTGGTGTCAGCCTGTTAATGCCTCTCTTGGTCTTTTTAAACTGTCTTGGTGGGGAGCTGTGTGAAACATGCGTTTTACCTGGTTTGCATCCAGATTTTACTCAGCCTGTCATCTGTAATAGTATATGGTGACATGGTCTTAGGGCATTTTCAGTTTTAGGTCTTCATAGGGTCTTTAGTGGAACTTTATGTGCAGATCAACCAGAAAAATGTTATCTTTGAGAATAAAAATCTTCCCTGTTTTGGATCACATAGATGGAGTAAGATCAGCAGCATCTGCAGCTACTCTGCTTCCTGTTATTTTTATTTTCAGATGTCAGTTGGCAGGAAATGGAGCAAACCATTTGGTCTGCTCCCCTTGAGAACTTTGGGAAGGGAAGGAGAAGTCTTGCTAAACCCATCTTAGATTCTTGGCTGGAGTCATTCAAACTTTTGGACTAAGAAGAAGCAAGGGAGAGGATGGGTAAAGGCAATGGAGGTAATGATGGAGAAGCAGGGCAGAAAGGACAGCAAAGGCTAAGCGAGTGGCCTGCAATGGAGTCACTATGAGAGTGGGTGTTTCTTGCTCTGCTCCAGATGTGGCTTCCCTGCTCCAAAAGGTCATTCATTTTTCTGTGCCTCATTCTCTTTTGAGGATACAATTGCTTCTACCTGCTCATCAATAATTTCTAAGAGAAATAAGACAACAAACTGAACAGATCTAAGAGTGCTATTTAAATCTCATGAGCTGTCATGGTTATTCCATCATCTTAAGAAACAGTTGGTTTATTGGTATATATTTATTTTCCTGTAACAGTTACAATGATAGATACAACAACAAAAAATGAACTTGAACCTGTGGTGACTTTACAGGCAATAGCCCGATTCATTCAGTTTAGGCCAACCTAAGCAAAATAGTTAGTTTACTCATGAAGCTTTCTTGTATTTTAATCTTAATGGCTCAAAATTTCTTGAGGAAATGGCATTAGATTCATCTTTCCAACTAGATATGATTATTTTAATTAATGGTGAAGCCATTAGTTTTTTATTGGGATAGTTATGGTTTGGCTTTTACTTGTTTTTGCTTTTCACAGTGTTTTAAAATTCTGTGCTTATAACAAAAGTTGGACCCACGTGGAATTGTGGGGGAACATTTGTTTGGTAGCACTGTAGAATAGAAAAATTAGCTCATCCAGTTAAAGACACAACAGGGCAAACTTATCAAAGAAATGAAAAACAATGAGTGAATTCTTTTAATTGGACTTCTGTTTACATTTGTATTGGCAATTTAATCATTCCTTTGGTTCAAGGAGGCTCCGCTGGCCCTAGGAGAATTCTCTGACTAATAATCTATAGTGTTTTTACTTCTACAAGCTTGTTTAAATTTCATACTTCCATTTTATCATGGAGACTTGGAACCTTGGGCAAATTGCTTAGATATTGACTCTTGTGATCAAGGCAGTCAATGGTACTTATACGAAGAATTAACTACTCCTCCTAACATTATTGCAGAGAGGAGCCAAATTTATTAGATTATTAAACACCTAGTCCCACATGCAGCCTCTATGCAGGAGTACCGGTTACTTTCTTCAGGCCATCTACACAGAAACGCTTGCTTCCCTTGCGTAGCTGGATTCACCCATGTATACACTGCCATAAAATTCGACTACAGATTTCCCCCTTCTCTTCTGACCCACCCTTTCATTTCCCCCTGACAAATGCTTCCATGAGGGCACTGAGGTTTTTATCCCCATAGTCAAAAGAATCTCTAATTTAGCTCATGACATTCTACTGGGATATAGCCATTTTGAACTCACAGGTGACTAGATTCAATCAAACCTGTCATGATGACAAGGGAAGCAGAAAAAAGTTTAGTGGCTGAATGCATAGACTTTTGGTCACACAGTCCTAGAAGTCCTGAGACTTACTACTTATTACTTGGTCAAGTAATATAATTGCTTAAATCCTTGGTTTCCTCACCTGTAAATTGGGAACAGTGTGAGGAAATAGGTATTAGATAATGGACGTTAAAACACTTGGCAATGTGCAGTGGAAGTACTTAATAGATGCTTGCCCTTGTGGTGATGATGATGATCATGAAGAAAATGGAAACATTTGCCTCAGGGCAGGTGCTACAGAGAGTGTTGGTTACCTCTTTTTACATAATCTCCCCTTCCTTGCTAGTTAACAGAACTCTTAGCAATGCACCTTGCCCAAAGATCTCCTTTCTCTGCTTCCTTTGCCAGTTGGTTTGACCAGGAGGCAAAGTTCTGGGGAGATACCATGCAAGTGGACAGGTTAAAAGGAACTTTTAGGAAGATGTCTGGAAAGAGGGGAGCCTCTATGCTGCACTTTCATATTTTTTGGTTTTTTAGTTTCTAGTCTGGACTATTGATAAAGTGGAGAGATCTCCAGCAGCCATCTTAGATAATGAGAAGATCTTAAAAAAGGAAGCCATGCATTGAGGATAATGAATCCAAAAGAAGAAAGCTCAGGACCCTACTGACACAGTTATATCACCCACCTCTGGCCTTGTCCACAAGAGAGAAATAAATATCTATTGCCTTGAAGCCCCTATTATTCTAGTGGTTTTGTTATTGTAAATGAACCTAAACCTTAATTATACACAATAATGTTTTTGAAAGTTAAAGATGTTGCATTCTTAGAAGGGAATCTTCATTTTCAGAGTGCTACGAAGGGGTGAGGAATTCAAATTGGAAAATCCAAAAGAAAGCTAAATTTTTCTTCATGAGAAAGAGAATATAGGAATGGCCTGGGGGCAAAGGGGTGTAGTTGTGACAAAAGGCGGCCTGTTGAGAAGAGTTGAAACATAATAACATTTTGCCAGCTCCTGAGGAGGGATTTTGTAGAGATGAGAAAGAAAAGACAGCTACTGCCAGACAGAAACTCAGTTGAATGCACTTTGTTTTAAGGGCTGTTAAGAAGTTTCTCAATAGTATTAAAAGTAAACTCTGTTTGCACCCCCACAGCCCCAACTATCTTCAGTAAATTATCAATGTCTTTGACATGTGTTATGTAATTGGATATGTGTTTCTCTGCACGTATGTGTGTCTGTGGGTATACACGTGTGTGAAAGGTGTTGGGTTCCTCTTCAAGGAGAGTACTGAGTAAGGCAAAGAGCTTTTCATAGGGTTCTTGTCCCAGGATTATTGGTAGTCCAAGTCTAGGTAATAAATCTGATAAATCACTGTTTCTTAGGAAAATTTTCTGTGAAATTGGAGGATTCTTAGAAGTTGGAACTGCCTTAAGTGTTCAAGTGAAACCACTTCCAGAATATCTCTGAACCATTTCTTTTTATATACCTCATGGATACTCATGTTGCACCATCAACTGGAAGTCTACAAGAAAACATTTGGCTACTACTTTTAAACATAATAAATGTATTTTTAAGATCAATACCTCAGGATCTTACTACTTTTGGCAGGTTCTGGTGACGACTACTTTTCAATGACCATATAACCCTTAAATAGAGAGATGAGTTTCAATACTTCTCTGTTCCAAAGTCCAGAAAGTCAATCAATACATTTCATTGGGAAGTGTATGAGGGAAATTAGAAAATAAATACATAAGACCCTGAAGTGGGAGGCAGATTTATTGGAAATCCTACAGATTTTAGATAAATGTTCTGCTCTTTGGAAAAAGCCATACCTGTGAGACCGTAGATTTGTTCGATAATCTTGATATCACCTGAAAGAGGAAACAAACAAACAGAAGTCGTGAGGATCATTTAAGCCTTCCCAGGTGGTTTGGGACTGGGTAAAATGTAGGAAGCAGGGGAGAGAAAGTGTGGGGGATGATGGATCCACCTGGATGGGCCAGAAGGAAAAACACCTCCTAAAAGATGCAGAAAAAGCCTCCCTCAGCCCAGCTTCTGGGATCTCTATTGACCAGTGTTCGGACTAAGAAAAGGGAGTAGCAAATTGAATGTCACACCTAGGAAATGATCAAAAGAGTGGACGTATTGGCTATATTTTCCATCTTGATGCCTTATTAGCTCCCCTTTTGTTTTCCATCTCCCATTTTCCTCTTTTCCTGCCCTTCTGCTAAATTCTCATGTCTTCTGTGATTTTTCTCTCTGGCTCTGTGAAAACAGAAACCTGTGGAATCTTTTCTTATTTAATCTAATTTCTTTCCATCTGTTCACCTCCCCTTCTTACTTGAATACGGGTGGGGGTGATGTCTCCTTTCTGTCCTATTTGTTTTCCTCACCATGATGTTTCTTGTGGACTACAATTAAGTTCACTGGGGATCCTGATCTCCTGTTTGATCAAATTTAAGATTCCATTGATTACAAAAAGAAAAAAATCCTGCCAATCAAATTGGGACATGCCATCAATGATAAGAGAGACCCCAATATCAGAGATGCTAAAGGTGAAAAACAAATGTGTGTTGTAGAATTACTTCAGCTGGGCTTCAGACTACATCTTATATAAAATCAAACTACAGTACTGTGGAGGAGTCCATTATAAAACATGCAGCTTTCCATGCTGGACAAAGAAGATCTGGAACTTATGATATATCCTGGAAACATGCTTCAGGTCTCATCTACATTGTTTTTTGCGCAGACACTTCTTTCATTTTAAAGTGGTAAATAGATGCTTTAAATTAGCATAACTTTATTCACATTAAAAAAAAAAACCTTTACACTCAAAAATGATCTGCCTAGGAAGTGAGACATATTTAGTAATTCTGTCAACTCTCACTGTTGTTGTTTTTTTTTCTCCTAGATGATTAGGGAAATAGATGTGTTATTATTTATACAAATGCTGGCATCATTATTGCTGTGCAAATACATGTTTCATCAATGTTTAATTTTATCAAAGAAGTCAACCCATTCTACATCTGCTTAGTTGCCTAAATATGCATTAATCAGAAGCATTGTAGACATAAGTTTTGTAATAATTCCTTAAATAGTGACAAATAAAACAGCTGAATAATTAAAAATGTGAAAACCCAAATTACAGTGCTGTTGCTACTGTGGTAGACACAAAAATGTGTTTTTTAAAAAGCCTTTCAGTTACAGCCTGGATGAGAGAACAAAAAGCCCTGTGGGATTTAGGAAGCCTGAACAGCTTCAGGTCAGAGGTGCCCTCTGAGGTGTAGGAAAAAGAAACTGGCCTCAGCGTCTTTTGATTTGGGTGTGACTCCTAGCTCCCTGGTTTACTTACTGGTAGCATGACTTCTGTCAAGTTGCTGAATCCCAAGGTTGTTTTCCTGTATCAGTGCTTCTCAAACTTTTATGTGCACACAAATCACCTGGGGACTTCATTCTAAAATGCAGGTTCTGGTTCAGGAAGTCTGGGGTAGAGCCTGAGACTCTGTATTTCTAATGAGCTCCCAGGCAATACTGATGTGGCTGGCCCGTGAGGCATACTTTGATCTCATAACCAACACCACTGCTATTATCATCCTATCACCTATTAATTCATTAAGTGTTCACTATGTGACAAGCATCCTGAAAAATGCTCCCAGCCATTATGTCCACTAATTTTCATCGCAATCCTAGAGGTAAGAAGTATCCATCATATAACCAGCACTACTGTGATAGGCTCTCTGATTAAGTCATTTCATTTGCATATGGCATTAAGCGCACGTATTTTAAAAGAGTACTATGATATATTCATTCTATTGACCAACACTTCATGCTGATCCAGATTCTGCCAATTGCAGAGAATATTAGTTTAATGGAAACCCAGTATTTTAAAGCTAGAAGTCACCCTAAAGAGTGTCTGCTACAATGATTTGTAACCTGGGAGACAGTAGAATGTTTGAGAAGCATTCCTAAGTAAATCAGATTCCAGAGCACCAACTCCAGAGTGTCTCTTCCAGTTGGTGGTGGGTAGGACCAGGTCCCCAGGTCAAGGTTGAAACCACTGAGTTAGTCCAACTCTGCCTACACATGTGGAAATTGCCATCCAGGGAGATGAGGTGACTTGCCCAATCCATGCATCAGGTTAGAGTTCTGGCAGAACCCTACCAGACGCCAGGTGCCCTGACTCTCTGGGTACCTTGCACAGAATCAGAAGTTGCCTTAGGTGCCTCCTCCAGCAATTAATGCTGTTAGTTGAGCTGAAAGACTAAATGCCTGACATATTGCGGAATTGAATCTAGCATAAGGTTTGATAACTGCCACAAAACAGATCCCCAAATCTCATGATACTAAGTTACCCAAGCACTTTGTTAGCCTTTTCTGAATTACAGATCTCTCCAGAAAAATGATGCATTCTTGACATTTTACCCCCATGGAAAAAAATGCACAATACAACCTTTGAATAGATAATGTTTATAGATCTTGTATCTTTTTCCAGTAACTGGAAGACTCAAAGGTTTTGGATGTTTTGAAGAAGACAGTCTTATCCAATTTGAGTCCCTCCCACATGAAATTTTTAAAACTTTTAGACAAAAGAACTGCTGGTAATCTCTAATGGGGATGATTAAAAAAAAGACTGAAGTAATACAGGTTGGGATGATAAAATGTTCTAAATCAGACATAAAACAAGGAATGAAGGTCATTGCAATAAAGTCTTGAGAGAAATAAAGAAGGCTAAGGGTCAACCCACTCAGATCTTAGAATTGTACCTTCAGTTTGCCAGGACAGAAGAAGCCAAGTGTGGGCAAGAAAGACCGGGGGCATGTCTCGGCAAAAGGTTATTACAAATAAGGTAAGGCTTTATAACCTTGTGAACTAGGAAAGAAACACATTCTCAGCTATACGGAGTTGGTTTAAAACGTTTCTGCATAAATTCTCTTCCTCTTTTATTCCCAGGTCCTAACCACTTAACTTACTCTATCACTCTGTAAGTCCAGTGGGAACTAAGAGGGAGGACCCTTACATTGAAAAAACACTGCTCACTGGCATGGAGAACCAGAAGGAAAATGGTCTCTTATTACTCAGACAATCTGCTACAAAAAAGCAAAACAAATTCACAATGTCCTTTTTATTTTTATTTATTTATTTATTTTTTATTTATTTATTTGAGAGAGAGAATGAGATAGAGAGAGAGAGAGAGAGAGAGAGCACGAGATCCAAGAGGGTCAGAGGGAGAAGCAGACTCCCTGCTGAGCAGGGAGCCCGATGCGGGACTCGATCCCGGGACTCCAGGATCATGACCTGAGCCGAAGGCAGTCGCTTAACCAACTGAGCCACCCAGGCGCCCCACAATGTCCTTTTTAAAAAAGAACTGTGTAAGGAAGTTCTCAAAATTCTACTATTGAGCTTGAACTGCAAACAGAAATCAAATGTACTAAAATTAATGGTGATTATAGATGTAAAAAATGCCACTGTATTCTTTAATGTTGTCTATGTTACTGAATGAAGACATTCTAGAAGAGCTTTCAAAGGCTCATACCTGACCTTGCCCATTCAACTTATTTTTTTCCTAAGTTCCTAAACTCCCCAGTAGTAAATTTTCTTGCTTTTAGGATTTTCTTTGAGCAGGGCTACAAGCTCTTTGATTTGTTTCATCTATTTCTGCCCACTGATTAAAGTGTCTCTGAATTCTGACACACAGTACTATGATGATAAGGTTTGGGGCCTAGACTTTCATGGGATGCTAATGCCTCACCTTTAGAAGCTGATTGGTTTTTCAGTAATAGTGAGGCATTGCCGATAAGCTTTCCTTACTCTCAAGATCCAAGAGACTGAACCACCAAGAAGTTAACTACTATGAGGTAGGAAGGAAGCAAATGGGAATGGAACCCACCACAGAGGCTTCGGAATCCTAAACTGTAACCAGTGGCCCAGTGGCCCAAGGAAGGTATTCTCATGGTTTACTTGGTTTGCAGGTCGGAATTACAAGCCCCTGTGTGAGTGTGCAAATGTCCTCTCAACTCTGGAATCTCCTAAGACACTAAAGTGCTCTGGTAGGAATGTTATCTACAGCTGATTGCTCAATTGGGAAATGAGATGCAAATTACAAGGCTCTTCTTTCTAAGTGATTCATGATATCCTCTGCTTTGTTAATAATGCCACATTGATTAAGTCACAAAGCAGATTGAAGGAACATGTGTCCTCATTCAGAAAAAGGAAACATCACATATTTTATCTTGTTGTCTGGACAGCAACATTACTAGTACTGGTGGCTGTTTGGGATAGAGTATGAATGGAGGATACTCCCACATAACTCAGTAACTCACATCGTTAAAAGGCCCATTTTTACAAAACCATAAATAATTGTCATATGATATGGCAAGTAGCAAATCAATAGGTCTCACTTTTATTTCTGATCTGCTTCTTTCTCTTGTAGACTTAAGTGGAGGTACCAAGAAATAGTAAATGACACCAAAGGCAGGTGGAAGACAGAAAGAAGCATTGGAAAGCTCTGGAGAAAGAATAGGCTTTGAATAAGGGGGCCCTTGTTTTCAACTAAAAAAAGTCTAGGAGTTCACTACCATCTAATCTAAAGACATTTTGAAGCTGAACCCTAAGTGGGTAACACAGTAGCTAATATGTTTCCTTTGCTTGTTGTATAACTTAGAAACAGAAATGAGATTTTAATTAAAAAACTGATGATTTTGAACTTTTCTAATTTCACCCTGAGCCTTGAGGTCAAGACAAACTTAGAGGAGACGTCTTTTCCTCTACATAAATACTATCACTTCTGATGCAGAAAGCACATGTCAAATAACCGAGACTTGAATTTAGAGTTTAATTTCTAGTTCTGGAGAGCTCAACCACTGAGACTATG